GTAGTAGTAGTACGTAGTAAGTAGGTGGTGGGGGGGGGGGGAGGGGGGGGATATTATTTCAGCTGACGCTGGAAGAAAGCAAGTCTGATTGTTTTGTTATGTATTGCTTGGTTACTTATTGAGCACGCTTGGCATTGTACACAATATAGAGGAACTTACGTACTGAAGGAGACAGACAATCAGGAAATTTCAGCCCCTCATTTGGAAGTTTCTATTCCTTACATTTCGTTTCAAAAGCCATAGAGGACATCAGCCTAACCTTGGACATCAGCCTAACTCTTAGACTGACTTAGTGGTTAGTATTCCCTGCTGGTCAAACTCACCCCTGTGCAGGGGGTCAGCACAAGTCCTAAGCATCTTGAGTCCACTATTTTGAGGGCTTAAGTGGTGCCCGGATCTCTTGCTGGCTCTCAGCACAGTGAATTTCAGCTTAACCGCACTCCCATGCCGGGGAAATAGGTTTAATCCCTGAGCTCCATTTTGGCTCCATGGGTCAGACGGGGATTGAAATGCATCATGGCGCTCTGGGGTGACCTTCCTGTATGATTTAGGAGTGATGAAATGGTGGCACCCAAGCCCTCTCAGCTGTAAGGTGGGGGTCATAACTATGGACATTTCCTGGAGGTTATTGGGGTATGGGGGTGGGGAGAGAATTGCTCCTCAGAAATTAATGAGGGATGCCGAAGATAGTTTTCTGATTCTCACCATATAGCGTTTCTAGCTGCACTCTCATCTGCTGCTACCAGCAGGAGGGCAGTCTCCAAACCCAAGGAGCCAGAGTTCTGTTGATCCTCCTGTCAAAGAGCTGCACTTTACAGTCATTTAAACAGAGGTGGGTAGCAAGAATCAACATCTTACATGGTCTGCGATAAGCTCTGTATTCCTTTTCATGCAGGGCAGATGGTTTCAGGCAAGTGCACCCCATTCTGGAAGACTATTCGGGCAAAAGAGGGAATGTAATTATCACTGATCATATATCAGGACTGACTGTGCAGCCAGTAAATCTAACCAATGTTACTTTCTATATGGCCACCTGGAATGGTGCATACAAATTAGCTGTGAAGAGAAACATGACCCAGCTCTCCAAGTTGTTTATCAAGGCTTCTAAGGCATCATTAATGTTCCTCAAAGGAGATGTGACTCATTTGAAAATGGAAATGTAGTCTTCCTTTGAACCAAGTCTTAGAGCACTAGGATACATTCTAATCAGTCTATGGCCTTCTGCCACTGCATTTTAAGTGAGTCCCAAGTGGAGGTCTGCTTTGCCCTTTTATAGATTTGCAGGCAGTACAAGTATTTTATAGATCCAATATCCTATGAAGCTCAGAGAACTGAAAGATCATTCTGGGTGCTCTGGAACATTTTCTCAGTCAGCTCCAGGAAGCGTGTGTATATTTGCAGCCTACTTATGCCTATGGGAGTTTTATGCATGTGTCCTTTGAACAACTTTGAAAATGTATCTGGCATTCCTCCCCACCACCAATTTAGACCAGTGAAAAGCATCCTTATTGTAGAGCTCAGTCACGTAAGGCTGCAATACTTCATATACATGGGTACTGCAATTTATCTCCTAAATAGCTGAAGTCCAGAATAACTCTGTGCCCACCCCGCCTCTCATTCTGACATTCTAACCTTTCCCGAGAGAAGAATCAAATCTGCAGGGTCTTCAGAGACTGGCTTCTAATGAGCTCTATCTGACCTGAAAATCTAGCAACCCTGTGAATGCTGCCAATACTTGACGAATGTGACATGTGCTTGCATGATATCTGGCCATTTCAATTCATTTCCTACAATCTGCTGACAAGTGGAGTAGAGAGGAGCTGAACACATTTCCGTTTTGAAACAGTTTGGTACTCGACTGCAAAGTCCTGCTCAGGTGCCAGGTCAATATTGCATCTGCATTATGAACAAGAGTTCTGAGGCTGTTTCTATGCCGTGAGCTAGGGCTGTGGTTCCCTGCTGGTGTACACTTACTCAAGTGGGTTTGTTCTCGGCTTGGCTCAGCCATGCCTCTGAAGCTGCTATCAGTGTTTCTGCTGCTACACTGCTATTAATAGTCACGCTAGCGCTCATCAAGCTAATGTGAGCATGTGCACAAAAGCAGAGGAATCACACCCCTAGCTGGTAATGTAGACATAGCCTGAGAAGGTAGGAGACTACTGACTGTATTACCTATACTGAATTATACAGCACCTTCCGTGCAAGGCTTTCCACAGACCTCACAAACATTAAGAAATTAAGCTCTGCAACATCCCCAGGGAGGTAGTAGATGAGAGTCCCTAGACGGGGAAGCTGAGGCAAAGAGATATTCGATACCTGGTCTTGAAAGGGGCCAAGCATTCGCATATCACATTGCTGTCACAGCTGCTGAATGAAGTAGCTCGCAGTTCTAATCTAAACAGTGAAGATGATGGTGAATGGATATACCCTGCCTTTGATCTTTGGATGGCGTCTCCCCTTCTGATCCCATCACAGAAGAAACAGAGCTACATCCTTAGCAGGGGTAACTTGGAATAGCTCCTGTGATGGAGTGTTCACGCCACATAGGAATGGAAGGGATTGATGGAGGCCTCGGGGGGCCTGCCACACCCTGTCCCAGAAAGCAGCAGTGGAGGTGAGTCCTCCAAGCAGCCTAGAAAGGCTATGCAGGAAGCAGCCAATTGGAGGGAGGCTGCATGAAGCAGCCAATTAGGGCCCAGCTGGCTAGTACAATAAGGAGCTGCAGGGCAGAGCAGTGTCAGTTGCTGTGGGGAGCCCAAGGAGTGAGGATGGTGTTCGTAGCAGGCTGCAGCAAGGGTACCGAGCAGTTGCTGGCAGGGACCAGGCGAGTAAGAGGGAACTCCTGGCTGGCTGCTGGGAGTTGCTGACTGAATGCCCTGAGAATAGGGCGAAGAATGTGCTGGGGCGCCGGGACGTGGCCCAGGGAATTGAAGCAGCATTGAAGAAAGTTAAGGAGACTCAGCAGGAAGCTGCTATCTACAGGGTCCCTGGGTTGGGACCCAGCGTAGCAGGTGGGCTTGACTGATAGTGATACCTAAGTCCAAAAGGGGGAAACACAGATGGTGACATGACATGAGTGATGAAGAGGATGCTGTGATACTTGGACTGAGGTGGGTCTGCAGGAGGAGAAGGCGCACTAATCCCCATGACGACCAGCAGGAGGTGCCACTGTTGTAAGCGGACCCCGTTGCACCACCATTGACTTCCTATTTATACTAGCTGAGAATTCACAAATCGGCTTCCTGAATTCACTATTTTACTGTGCAGAAGGTTCTATGGAAAGGGGACAAAAGGGTATTTTTCAATTAAAATATTGCCTTCAGTAGAAGTTGTATACACTCATATCAAGGCTGAAGAGAGGACAACAGCCTGATTCTGTGTGTGGGAAAGAGAACAGAGGCAGCCAAACCTATTGCTACATAATAAGCACCCAAGTAAGTAACTGAGTGTGAGGTTCAACAAATATCTCAGAATGGTGCAGGCAAGATCTGGTCTCTTGAGATGCCATTCATCATAATGTGATCAAAATTGGTTTTTGGTATTTGAGGATAAAACTATGCTGGCCAAGACGTGGAAGATTAAGCCTTGACTAGTAGGTGTGCATGGACAGGCAAGGGTTACAGGAGGCAGAATAGAAAGATTATGCTGGAAGGAGAAAAACTGTCCTCCATCATGGATGTGGTAAAACAAATTCACATCGCAGGCAGGCTGAGGACGAGAGTGAAAATGGATTACAGACTTCATTACTGAGAACTGAAAGCAAAAGAGAGCTGTGATCCCCGTTAATGGGCTGGCTGAAAATTAAATGGAAAGTTTGAAATGCACCTGCTCTGCACCACAGAAAGCACAATGGGGTTCAAAATTACACTCAGAGCTCCAGAGGTGAAAGCAGACAGGTTTGGTAGGGCATCATTATACATCACAGCAGAATTAACTTTAAAATTAATCATAGCGAGCATTCAAATTTAAGATGAACCACACTTTTTTTGTTTGTTTTTACTCCAAAGCAAAGTTAGATCAGCTCCTTACAGCTTAGAGAAGTATCCTGTCTTATCCTAGCTGCAACTGAAAGTGAACAAGAAACTGACCATATGGGTGAAAGAGGAAGAATTCCTCTTGCTTTATTGCATCACAGTTTAATAGAATCTCATTTTATGATGTCACTGACCGCAAGCATCAATGAAATCAGCACCATCATGTGCACCAGAGATGGAATAGCTTTATATGAGGATTTTTAGAAAAATGACACACAAAAAATCACATGCTCCAGAAATTTATACATATCCCTTTAGCACAGGCTACCCTATGGGTTTGGGATAGAACTAAATTCTTTTCCCATTGCAAATAATCCAGCTCTTAACCCAAATCATGAACCAGAGTTTTAAAGATTGGGAGAGACATGGAATACATACAGTTGGCCAACTATTCAATAAAGAAACTTCTAATTTATTTAGAGACCAAAACTAACTTTAACTGGCCCATTCTCCCATGATACCACTACTCTCAAATTAGGCATTATGTTGCTCAACCTTCTAGAATAATTGTTTTATACAGAAAGCTAACTTTGAAGCAAGGGATTTAACTGCTTTACAAACATTGCTTGTATACCCTGATTTACATAACCAGCTATATACTGCAAAACAGGAAGGGTGCAAAGTCATGGTTACCGTGCATCATAATGCCAATGAAATTAAACGGGTATTTGCAAGAATTGGCTAGGATCTGTCGCACCACTGATGGGAAGTGTTATTGGGATGGTTCCCCACTGGCAGAGGCATCCTGGATTTGGCCCTACACCCCATGATAGGGTCTGGTCAATTAGGAAACAAAAAACAAAACTAATTTATATAAATCTTTGCAGATGTCTTTCCAAACAAAAAAAAGTGTCCATATATAACATGCTGGAAAAAGGACAAATCACCCCAGAAGAATGGGTTGATCTGAAAAGAAGAGGACCAACAACCTCAGACTATAGCACAATAAAATGTCTTTAAGGTACTGTTTGATGGTACCTCACACCAGTCAGGTTAAGAGAGCGAGTATGTGTACTGATATTGAATGCAGATCAATGATGAAGAAATTGTGGTGAAAGTGGAGATTTTATTTATATATATATAGTGGACATGTCCAGTCATTAGAGTGCTGGGATGCAATTTGTAAGTAAATATCACAAATTGTTGGATATTTATTACCAAAGGATCCTTGGAAATCCTCTTAGGGCTTCCACACAGGAGGAAATGAAGAATTCATCTCTCATCTGCTATTTATTGGTAGCCTCTCACTGGAAAAAGAAAAACAGTCCAACTGTATAGGAATGGTTAAAAAAACATTAGAGGTCGTTGCCATGGAAAAATGAACACACCAATTACATACCCAGCAAAACAGATAGACTGATACTTAGCTATTGTCTTAACTTTTATTCAGTACTCAGGCAATACTGTAAAAAAAGCACATCTGTGCAATTTTTTTTTAATATTGACATTTGATAGATATGCCTGCTCTATGTAATCAGAGATTTTACTCATTTTAAGAAAATCATTAGAAACAACATGTCCTGGGGTTGTAACAACGCGCATTCTGTAATATGGTAATACCCTGTTAAATAGAGAGATCTGACGACTATATTCCTGTATAATGTCTCTTTAAACAAAAGCTCATTGTTGTAATGACTGTTTTGTTTCTGATATTTACATGGCAAGAATTTGTAAACCTGTTTATACTTCTAAATAAATAATATATCTACATATACAAATAACCTGCTCTCTAGGATAGGAAATAGCCAAAACGATTGCCCTTTGGGAGCACACCCAGCGCTTTGTAAATTTTGAGAGTTCATCTTCTTAACAACCTGTGATTATTTGCATGTGATGCTTTCCCCATCACTCTTGTGCATGCACTTACAAAACTGGGATGCTGTCTACAGCACATACTAATTCCTCACTGGCTTTCTCAAGCAGAACAGTTCAAATGAACAGAGAGTCCTGCACCCTTGGCTTTCTTTAGGAAAACCTACTCAAGGCTTTTCAATTCTTAGCAATAACTTTGAAGCGTCTGCCTTGCTTTGGTGATAACACCGCGAATGCAAGGAAGCATGTTAATGGAATCACTGAAGCATCCTTTAAGCTCCACTCTTCAATGGAAATAATTAAATACCTTAGATTGGAGACACTTCAAAACAAAGAAATCACAAAACCCAGTGTTTAGTTGAACATTGCCCAATTTGTCCTAGCAATGAACTTCCCTCCAGCAATATTTTCAAACATATTGTCATATTTTGACAAATCTTTGCTCTAGTATTTCAGGAACGTCAGGTGAGCTTTTCTGCTTGGAAGTGACAGTCTGACAGTTTGCCTTTATTGTCCCTGCTGAATTACTGAACATTCGGGGCAATGCAGTGGTATAAAAGTTCAGGCTGAATGATCCTAGAACATTCGATACCTTTCACCACACATCTTTCATACAAATGTATGTATAACATCTTTTATGCAAACGGTAGCGGAGTACGGTATGCAGAGTTATACAATGCAGTTACACATTTAAAATAAAATATAATGGCAGAAGCCGAGAAATTAAAGTATGCAATGCAATTAAGTACTGTGACATATAGTAGAGAACACACACATTATTCAAAGAGTTGTAGGCAATTTTACATTTCCACTATAAAAAAATACTTGCTTTAGCTGCTTGCCACATTCAAGTAGATGTCGTCTTCCAAGTTCACATAATACCTCCAGTAAATGAAATATTTTTGTTCCTTCTGTAACAGTTTTCCTCTATATCCAGAAGGACCATAGCAAATCCTCCTTGCATTTCTTCCAGCAGTCCATGTCCTTAATCATATAAACTTTTTGAATAATGTGTATATTCTCTATTATATGTCACAGTACTTAATCATGTTTAAAAAGCTTACCACAGTACAGTAACACTACACACCTCCTGTATATCTGAACATTCCCACTCAGTTACATGGTTTTCTCCTTTTTCATCCATGCACTCACATACATGTTTAAGTGTGTGGAGGGAGGAGAGGAAATATTAAGATATAGAAAGATCCAGTGAAGCTAGCTGTTTGAGGTTTATCCAGACCTGCTCCATCGTCCCTTTCTTTCAGATGAGAGGTAAAACTGGGGCCCTGAGCTCTGGTCATTATTAAAGGTTTTATAATGAATCTGGTGTAGTAACCAAATTCTAGTGGGGTTTATTACTTCCTGTTGACTTAAACTCACCAGATTAGATACGCCTCTTCTCTTACAGCCTTAGTATATGGGGTAGTACTGCTGTATGGTAAATGACCGTACCCACTTGTTACATTGTCATTTCTCAATGGACAAAACCTAAGCTCCAGCACCAAAGAACAGACCTCCACCACTTGAGTTAAAGGAATTTGCTGGTAGTAGTAAGCTCTTGCTGTCTCTAAGAACTAGCCCCAAGAGGGAGAAATGTCACACTTACCCATATACTTCCTGGGTCACAGGAAACACATTTTGAGTGTCAAGTCCACTGGAGTACAAAACCCCAGACAGACCACCACTCTATAATGACATCCATCATGGGTCACCAAGCAGGGATCCAACATTCACCACCAAAACACAGGCCCCTACCTATTCTGCTACAAAAGTTACTCCTTTAACTGTTAGCAGTAGGATCTTAACTTCTTTGTGGATTGAACACTAGAAGAGGGACAACAATCACCAGCACGTTAAGCATTTGCTCTATACTTCCCTAACTGTGGTCTCATTTCAACACCAATTCTTCCTTCCCCACCCCAGGTTGACTTCCAAATGGGCCAGCAACTACCAGTTTTGGGGAGGCAAGTCAGTGTAGAACTTGCTAGTTCAAAGATTTCCCCCTCTTGGCTCTCCACATCCCAGAAACCTTCTTCATTTCCCCACAGCATAGATCACCATGGAACTGTAGCTCAAGGCACTCCCTGGAAAATTCCCAGTTCCTTAATGGTTAAGAGTGGCTGAATTAGGGTGCGACTATTTCCAAAGTGCCATGATTTCTGTGTTAGAATACATCTCACTTAGTGCTTTCCTCTAGGTTTACTTGTGGATTATTTATATAGAGCCAAATTAATGCATGAGGCTCTACAGTTTTCTTTAAAGAACCCAAACATGTAGGGTGAAGTCCTGCGCCCACTGAAGCTGATGGCAAAATTCCCAATGACTTCCATAAGGCCAGGATTTCACCCATCATCCCTGATACCATTATTGGATCCACGAAGGTGCAGGCGTTGCCACACTCAATTCAGTAGGGCACTGCCCAGGTGCAGGAGTCCACTAGCATAGATCCCTTTGCAGGATCAGGGCCTGATTTTAAAATTTTCACACACAAAATGTCTTCCAATAGAAATGTGCAGGGAACCTGATCATTCTGTAACTGGTTATCTTTTATCATGAAGTATTTATTCAGAATTATTTTACTTAAAATGGCGAGGCAGAAATATGGCACTGGGCTTAACCTCATGCTCTCCTGATCCTACCCCAGTGAATCAATGGTAACTTGGCCATTGACTTCAATGGGCATGGGATAAAGCCCTTAGAGAGGAGCCCATCAAAACTCTGTATTTAGACATCCTTAATAGTGGGGAATTCAGATTCGGCTCTGAACTTCATAGCTTGGCTACGCCAAATCCCTGGATCTAAGCAGTGCGAAGTTTGGGAAAATGCTAGACCTGAGCTAAGGTCCACCTCTAACTTTACAATAAAGAATTCAGTCACTGGAGATCCTCAAAGGATGTAAGCCAGACAAAAGAACACAAAGCAATGATCAAGTATCTTTATTCAGACACACTTGCTTTCAAACTACAATTAATATTTAACAAAAGCATATCATGCAAACAAAGACTAAAGGTTAAAGAATTAAGAAAAAACAATGCAGTAATTTATACATCAATCTTGCCAGCTATTCTTCCAATATTTTTTGAAAAATGAATCGCCTCTCCACATTTTCCTATAGTATCTTGCAATTAAATAATAAGAAAATAATGTTCTCCTCTTTATAAAAATGAAGTTTGGGTCTTAAAATGATATCCTTCTCTGTTAATGATTTCAAGGTGGTATTATTCCTTGTTAAAAAAATAAACACAACAAATGCAATGATTTCAAATGTTTCAGGCGTATTCTATAAAAGACAGACATTCTCTTGCAAAAAGTACAAGTACTGTGAGCTGCATTTTTAAGCTTTTAGAAGAGGCAACAAAGCGTTTCATTTTGTTAAAATGATTTTTCTTACAATCGTTCTAGTAACTCAAAGAACGGAACAAATTTGAAACTCTTTCTGGGGAAATAAATCTATAGTGTTAAATCTTCGCCTTACTACAGCAAGAATGCTCACTAAGGTCCCAATTCAGCAAAACACTCAAGCATGTGTTTAAGTCCCACTGACTTCAATGGGACTTAAGCATGTGCTGCTTGAAGTTAAGCATAGATGGACTTAAGCATATGCTTACGTGGTTTCCTGAATTGGGCCTAAGGGCTCGGCTCTGCAAGGTGTGGAACACTATGACCCTGGATCCAGGACAACACCGAAGCACGTTCTGAGCTATAAGGCTGTGAGTATTTCTACGCTCTTCAGTGGGATTGCTCATGTGCTTAGAGTACATGAAGTGCTTGGCTGGATCAGAGCCAGATTGATCAGCACCGTACAGGACTGAGCCCTAATGCAAGGGGTGCAAACAATGCTGATTCTGCACAATTGTTCAACCAGGAAAAAAACCCCCCAACAGTTCGTTCCTTTATCAATTCAAATTATTCTTATTAAAAAATGGTGGCTTATAAAGATTAAAAAACAAAGATTATTGTTCTTAAAATCTGTTTCTTTCACCTATTTATAAATGATAAAAAATAACTTGCTATTAGCCGAAGGTTTCATAACAGGTCCTTCTAATCAAAAATTAATATATGGCCCCATCTGCTCCCATTGACAGAAAAGGGCAACAGATTTGGATCTCACCTACCACCTATTCTGACTCCCATTGAAGTCAATAGAAAAACGTCCTGAGTTTACTAGCAGCAGGATTGTGCCCTTGCATCACTGGACTTCAGGGGATATTAAAAATAAGTGAGTGAAGTTACACCAGTAATAAACCCGAGTGAGATCCAGCTCTATGGTTTCAATGGAAACAGGCTACAGCCTGCAACATGATCAATGTTGTTGCTATTGCTTTTGCATTTCTAGCTTTAAAATGATTTATAAACATTACTGAATTTTTAGTCAGTCATCATAGACAGAAGAAAAATATAGCTTCTGGGGCTGTTTCCCCTGCAATTTGAAGTATCTAGGACGCTGTAGCTAAGCATGGAGCTAGATGAAGCAGCGTCTCTCAGATGCAAGTTAAATTACCAGCTGAACAAAATCCTCACTGATGGGACAATTGCAAACCAAAGATCACTTCTCCTCTTTTAAGAGCCATAACTGAGCGTTCCTAGAAAACAGTTGGGTTGTCAGTTGTATTTAGCCATATGGAATTTTGCTCTACAATATATCAATTCTGCTAAAAAAAATTTAAATTGCACAAAAAAAGTCTCAGTAGTTGGAAAACGGGTAGTGCAACTGACTTCTACACGGCTGGCAAGCAACACTTCACATTGTGATATGAGTTCAGTTAACAAGAGCTAAGCTGTACTCCAGATCCTATAAGAAACATACGTTTTTTCTTTTAAATGGTTTCAGTAGAATTACTAAAGTTATATAAAAGTATAAATAGCATGGTATATCCAGCAACACCATGTGAATTGAATAAACTGATTTATTTAATATTAAAAAATTATAATAATACTTACAATTACATAACACTTTTCATGTTAAAAGTGCATTAGAAACATTAACTAAGTAGTCCTCACAATACCTGGTGAAGGACGTAAGTATTATTATCCCCATTTTACAGATGGGGAAACTGAGGCAGAGAGGTTAAGTAACTTGCCCAAGGCCACAGAGGGAGTCAGTGATAGACCTGGGATCAGAACACATGTTCATGGACCCCAGAACTGTGCTCAGAACATCAGAGCACCCCCCCCTCTCGATTTTCTTATGAACAGGAGGGCTTTAGTGCATGATTATCATCCATTATAAGGCTATTTAATTACCAATCATCACTGGCACCACTATTAGTTGATATGAAATCAGACATGGTTATTGTGTCAATTTTTATATAACACTTCATTTAAACATTTCAAATAGTTTCTAAGGTTTGGGAATTGAAGGAAAGAGTGGTTTGGCTTTTATATGTAGCTAAATGTCTTCCTAATTAATAGCACAGAGATAAATGAATTCCTGTATTTGACACGGATATTTGTAAAGAAACAAAAACTATATACAACAATTTATGGCAATGACTAAAACAAACAAAATCACATTATATTTCCAGAAATTCCTTGGCAGGTTAGCACAGCTATTGCAAACCAAATACTACAAATATTCTTTCTAATGATATCAAAGATTTATCACTGATGTTTCCAATGTTGTGCTTTGCTCAGTATGGAGTATCTTCTCCCTTTGAGGACTGCATATAACTCCAGCTCAGTTTAACTGGAGTCATGTGCATGCTCTGAAGAGAAACATACCCATAACTAAAAACAACGAGGAGTCCTTGTGACACCTTAGAGACTAACAAATTAATTTGGGCGTAAGCTTTCGTGGGCTAAAACCCACTTCATTAAATACATGGAGTGGAAAATACAGTAGGCAGGTATAAATATACAGTACATGAAAAGATGGGAGTTGCCTTACCAAGTGTGGGGGGGTCAGTGCTAACGAGACAATTGAATTAAAGTGGAAGTGGGCTATTCTCAACAGTAGAATACCAATACCCATAAGTGTTATCAGCAATTGCAACTCTGGACCTTTAACAGTCCACCTTTCCTGCAAGGAGACAGGCTTTTCCCCTTGTTTGTTTTACAGGAGCTCAGTTGTTTTCCAATGAAATTGACCCTGCAGGCCAGGAAGGATTTTAAAGGATCAGAATGTACACACATTCTGTAGGTTACTTTATTCACTAATGGATGGTTTTGACAGTGTAATTGTATTTAGGTTGTAAAAGAAAAATCACATTTTATTTCTGCAGACTATGAAATATCTGAAGGCTAAATGTCCCCGTCCCCCCCCCTGAATTTCTAACCTGGGTTACGTTGGCATTTTTAACGTTTGGAGTGCGTTCTCTCTTTGTGCATGTGCAATTCTTCTTGATAGGAATGGAATGTGGATAAATGGGCTCTGTCTTTCAAGTCCATATTCACGTAGCAGTCCTTACCTCACCCAGGTAATCCCACTGAAATCAATAGGACGTGAATAAAAACTTGAAAGATTTTGCCCACAGAGTGAAATCGACCCCATGCAGAGGACCAGTAGGCGCCTTAGGAACCAATTCATTCCTTAAGGGCTTACGTGTGACTTATGTGGTTCCAAGGCTGTGCTAGCTCTCTGCATAGGAGTGGATTTCACCTACAGACAGGAACACAGACCCCATTTATTTCACTGCTGAGTCACTAATGCCTCAACCTGGGAAATGGACAGAGTTTTGCATCTACAGAGAGTGTTTCTAACACATTATGTAGAGATGTGTTACTTGTAATTTAAAAAAAACACACTAGTTTTAAAAATATGCAGTTTATTGGAGTGGTTTTTTTTAAGGGGGAAAATGGAACCTGGTCAATCACAAGCAGTTTCAGATTAGCAGCCTGAAACCAAAGCTTTTTCCTCAATAGTTCAAATTCCCCATGAATTGAGGTTTTAAGAACCTCTTTGGGACACCTCTATATTTATCGGCCCTCAGCCCAATTTATCTCCAACAGGCATCTACAATTGCTGCAGCACAGTGTCAGTATTACCTAATTGTGGGGGTCCTGGGCACTCTCAACTCCTTCAGAAGTCAACGGGAGCAGAGCCCATTCAGGATCTTATAAGATCAGGTGCTTAAAACTTTCACCTAAATTTTAATGCAACAAAATGTCAGTTCTAGTTTTACAAACTCATATCAGGGGTTTTTGTTGTCTCAAAGGGAAAGGTTCTAACTTAAATGAGATCACTTTAATGTTAACGACTACTCAAGTTAACCAAAGTTCTCTGGATAGCCACACCCGTATATAGATATCTGATAAATAAATAACAGCTGTATTAAAATGGCATTAGGAACACTTTTGCTGTACACTCAGGGTTTTACTTTCTATAATGCATTTCCAAATCATGAGGAAATCACTGGATGTGCCTTTTAAATTATGTGTAAAGGGCTGGTCCTAACATCAGGGCTCATATGAAACCTTGCGAGTAAGGCAAAGTATTAATTAAGGATAACTTGTCTAGACAGCCACTTTTAGACAGTTCTGCACAATGTTGCCTTATCCTTGTAGGATGGGCAAGTTCTCAGTACCCTTCTGTTAGCATTACAAAAACCTACACAAGAAGACAGGAGAGGTCACACACACAGGAACTTTGAGGTAACATGATCAGAGATGACTTCCTGTTTTTAACCTAACCAATTGCAGAGCTTGTGCAAGTGCTTAAGAAAATAAAAATGAAAAATCTTGAGGAAATGAACAAAAGCAAATCATTTTAAGGTTTGGATGTTGGACCAGCCCTTTCATGTTATGCCCCAGTAGGCATAGTACTGTTTAACATTTAAAATGTGGGTCTACAATCTGATACATTCCATAGCTCCACTTCACCACTGATCCCTCCTAAGGAAAACACGAGTTCCCTATCTTGTCTACCAATCTCCTGTCCAACTTGGCTCTGTCCCATTTAGTCTCCCCTGCTGCTTCTCTCATCTCTAGATCTCCTGTGCTCTGCTATCCTTTTCTATTTTTTCCTTTTCAAAGTCTCTCCATTACCTAATGTCCCACATCATAGTCCAAGGGTACACTTACACTGCAATAAAAGACTATTGGCTCAGCCATGACTGGCCTGAGTCAGCTGACTTAGGCTCGCAGGACTCGGGCTGTGGGGCTAAAAATTGCAGTATAGATCTTCGGACTTGGGCTGCAACCGTGGCTCTGAAGCCTCGCAAGGGTGGATGGTATCAGAGACCAGGCACAAGCCCAATCCTGAACATCTGCACTGCAATTTGTAGCCCCACACACCATGAGCCCAATTCAGCTGACCAGGCTCTGAGATTGGGTGCCGGAGGTTTTTTATTGCAGGGCAGACGTACCCCTAGAATACATTTAATGACAGCTCCTGTCAGTATCGGCGGCTGTGACGTTAATAGCCCCTTATTCTAAATCTGAGTTTTTGAAGTAATCTACTGAATCCACCATCAAATGTGGCATGATGCCTTGCTGTCCCTACCCTGTATCAGGAGTTCAATGCTAGTAGATTAGAATAATGTAGTAGGGCATGAAATTCTTCAGGCGTCCACATCCTTTATGTTGAATACCCATGTTTTTAAAGATATATATGATATACAAACAAGACAATTCATTCTCAGGTTTGGCAGATAAATTTAGTATTTTGACACAGATTTTGTTTTAAATGATTATTCCTAAAACAATTTTAAATTTTGTTTGAACGTTTCTGTAGTTTGGCAATAGCTTGAGCTCTGGTTTGTTTATAGTGCTCCTCATGTGCAGTGTTCTTCTCTAAGATCTCAGAAGGTTCCATTTTACCAGTAGCCCAGGATTACTCATTCACTTAGAGCTCATTCAAAACCATACTCGCATGAATAGACCTTTTCTTATGAGAGTGGTCCCAGCGATTGCAATGGGACTATTTGTGGGTGAAATCCATTCCTTTGCAGAAGATCAGCACAAGTCACGAGGACTATGCACCACTGACCCCCTCAACAACTTTTGAGACTAAAAGAGATACATAAGCTTGATACTGGCCCTCTGCACATGGCTGAATTTCACCCAGACATAACTCCACTGCAATCTGTGAGACTGCTCAAGGAAGTAAGGAATAGTCATATGAGTAACAGTTTACAGGATTGGGCCCTTCCACAGCATTTTGGCAGAGTTTAGATGATCTACTGTAATACAAAACTGCACCCTTCGTTACAGATTCTGATAAATTTATAAGTATTTTATGGGAAATATTTTACTTTGCATGAAAGTAAGTTTACATGCTGGAAAAAAACGGTAGATCACTCTGCATGCAGCAATAGAGACAACGTGCATCTGGCATTGACATGCACATCAAGAAGGCAAAAAATGTCTAAGATCGCTAACATTAACAAGGCAAAAGGAAAAGGAAAAGGTAATGACTATACCAATTTACATGCCGTAATGCAACCAAAATATGCACAAAAGTATTTACTGATCTTTGAATCAGTATCTTCTAGTAAGGTCTAAGAGGAAATAACAATCATTTTAACCAGATGATTGCTACAAGAGAAGACTGCATTAATTACAGTGTTCATCACTGCAAATAAAGAAAACCTATTTTCTTTTTTGCAAGTAATAGATGTGAAATAAAAGCCTCATTGAATCTTGTATAAAACCTGCAGGTAGCCATTATTGTTTAAAAATAGATCTACATTTAAAAAAACATAGTATATCCTATCCCATTGACTATATCCATAAACTAAAATAAAAAAACAAAACTAAGCAAAAAAATTAGCAATAAAACATTAAGCTAAATCTAAATAATAATGCTCATTTAGAACAAGAACCTTCACAAACATAGCACAATTTTGTCTTATAATTTTTTTAATACTCTCTTTATACTTGATACGATTATGTCAATAATAGAGATTTGCTTATTATTAAGGGTTATTACTAAACATGCAAAATTTATTGCATGAAGCATATGCAAAATGTATTAAATTCCCTTCTACCAATAAATCAATTTTTAACAGCTTTTTCTTTCAGGCTCCCATATTCTACAGCTCCATGGGTTTTAAACCAATATTTAAAGTGGAATTTAGACCAAAAAAACTCGTATTTTTCTAAGTTACCTTGGGGAAAGCAGGAAGTGACTTTGAACTCCACACTGTCATTAAATTACGGCACACAGTGCTCTCCTCTACTACCCTAGTCTGCAGCCTACTAAATGAATAAGTGTGAGTGGGTTGTAAGGGGTTACAGTTCTGTTTCACACTCTGGTTAACAAAAGTTTTATAGCAAAATATTGGTATTAGTAGAACTGGCTAACAATGAACTTGAGTAGTGGTGTAAATTAAATTAATATAACTAACAATGGCACCCTGGATCACAGAATAATCTCATGGAGATTAAAGTTAACACAAGTATTATTATTTTTATTACTATTAAATATGCAATTTTATCCTTGAGCTAATATTTGTCCTGGGCGCTAGTTACCATCAATCCTAAATATCTGGCCGCTACTGAAAATCTGTTTAAATTTGTGTCTGCTTTGTGCAATTGAGTCTCAAAGCCCAAGTGTCCAACATTATTTCATTAAAAAAACCCAACCTGGTACGTGTCCATATTTTTCTAAAAGCAATAGCCTTGAAACATTTTGCTTTGAACAATCTTACACAGTGCCCCTCCCTCCCGCAGTTACCCCTCCCTTTCAATCACTTGTGCTGTCGTTTCATCAGGAGTCATCAGGAAGACCAAAAGGAAGAGTAGTCCCTCAGGGCCTACTGCTCACATTTCATGCTATCCACATTTAAGGGCTGAAGACTTTCCATTTTAAGGTGGGTTGTTTGTTTTTTCCAGCCTACTTGATGCTGTTTCATTTTTTCTAATACGCTTTTCCAGTGCCGGAGGGGAGGTGGAAAAGGACAATAGAAATTATGCAAATATATTAAAATATACCGAAAATGGCTAACTTCATAAGAATAACCCTACAGCCAGTAGTGTGAATAAATGGACACTATATATTACATGAGCTTCTACTAAGACAACTTCTCTTTGTTGCAAAGCCAAATCCTGAATGAGTGTCCTTTTCCCTCCCCCTCCTCCTGTACTTTTTACCCTACAATTTCCAGGCCCAACTGGAACCAACAAGGCAAAGGCCTAAAAATTCTAGGGCAAAGGTCCATTTTCCACTGGTGGTTTGTTCATGTCTATCAGCTTCATACTACACTTAGTAAGCTCGGGTGTACAAACTGTGGATTGATATAGGAGAACCCTTCAAAATCTGTTTGGTCTATGTTAGAAATGACCAGCTGATCAGGCGGTGTTAACACTGGTTGTCCTCGAGTAAAGAATTTGTCGAAGTTTTCAGCACCTTTGCCACACTAAAAGAGAAAAAGGGAAAAAAATAATATAATTAGATGAAAAAAAAATCAATGACACCTACTGACAGCGCTGTCTCTTGACTCATTCAGGATAGATATTGTGGGCTTCTCTCACGTTTTATCTTTACAGGTAGCTAGGACGCAATTTTCTTCCCTGATGTTAAAATATATAGCAAAGATGCAAGGTGAAGAGAAAATGAAAAATTTCTAACACATGGAGTAAGTAGCAGGATTGTGATGTAATGGAGTTCTTTCCAGAAGTACTGTGTGGCTCAGGACCATGGTACAAATATGAATGGAAAAAGTGGGGCAAACCTCCCCCTGCAGCTACTCAGGTAGATGGGCAATGGCTTTGTTCCACAGAGTTATCATGTGAGCAAAATTACTCATCTATATAAAGCTGGAAGCATGAATCTGTCAATTACTGGCAGCATTATACAGAAGCTTGGAAGGATTCGATTTTTATCAGTAGATGTCAATTTCACCGCACACACAAACTGATGAAAAAATACTTCCATTGATAATAACTGACATTTACAGATAGGCAAAGTAAGAAAAATGCTGCTTGCCAACTCATGAGAGTTTAAATTAAGGATATTTACTTTGTATATTTTGACATGTGATGTTGACAATTTGAGTTTCAACGGTTATAAAGCGTTCACTTTTTATATCTCGGTGTCCGCTGTCATTAAATAATTATTGTCTGAACCCCCGATGGTCTGACGCACCATAATTTCCCGCAACTGTGAACATTTAAATATGTGAAAATAGGAAAAAACACTTTAAAATAAACATGGATATTATCTGTCAAAATGGTAAAAAAAAACAAAATTGAATTCTGCCAAGCCTAGTTCTACAGCATGCACCTGACTATGAATTTTGACTGCCAGCTCTTTTTCAGCTGGACCTCGCACGAGTACCGGTTTGTCACTGTTCACAACTAGGCACTTTCTTAATACTTGGTCTTGCCTCAAAGAAAAACTAACCCAAATGCATCATAACTCCCATTTGGAGAATTGAGAGACTAGCTTGTGTTGAACCTGAGCAGACCCCTTTGTAAATTAAACCTGGAGGAATTCTATCCTGTTTGTTTAGTAGGTACACTTTTAGCATGCTATTTTCTGGGTCTCTAAGAGTATGTCTACACTGCAGTTAAAAACCTGTGACTGGCCTGTGTCAGCTGACTTGGGCTCGTGGGGCTCAGACTAAGGGGCTGTTAACTGCAGTGTAGAGGCTTGGGCTGGAGCCTGGGCTCTAGAACCCTGCAAAGTTATTGAAATGATACTGAATTCTAAAGCAGCTGCCGATCCTGAAATCAGCTCTGCAAGACATTTATTCCAACTCAGCCGTCAAGACTATATGAGATTTCTTAGATAACAGAAAGATGGAGAGCCTGGAGAGGCAAGTTGTGTCTGCCAAAGGAAGGAGTTATAAAGGCCCGGAGTGGAGATGGCTGGACACAACTGGTTCTATTTCACAGATAGGGAGACCTCTCTTCTCATAAAGGCCAGCAAAGAGGTATAGTTGTGCAGAAAGCGATCGAGTCAGAACATAAACATGAAGAGCTCAGTTGTCATGGAAAGGTTGAGGGCAGCATTAAGGAGGGCAGACAACACTCAGAGCAAAGCAGCATTACTGGCAAGTAAAAGGGGATGGAGGAATGGAACGAACACAACAAAATTAGCTTGGCTGGAAGAAACTGAGTGCACGCTCGGGTAATACTGGACTTTGTATCCTCTGGAGAAGCCTAAAGGAACTTAAAAGCAAATCAGGTTCTCTCAATGATGTTAGTGGAACAGTGCTATACAGGGTGGTGTGTGCCTGTACTACAAGTCCTGTGAAAATGTCTTCCCATTTTAGCTGCTCCTTTCCTCTCTGCTAACTTCTGTAGGGTGTCTGCACTACTTTACATTACATTTAATGGGACTGTTTGCATTCAGCCTTCAAGGATGATATACCACCATGCACCTCTTCTAACCTGGGAACAGATGGTTCATTTGAAGATCTCATCTGCATTATCTAACACTAATGCAAACTGGGGTAGGGTTGAAGAGGAGTAGACGGAACTCAAGCGATCAGATACACGGTTCATATGCTACTTTGGACACAGTTCACTTATACCGTGTTCCCAATTATCTTGTAGAGCACCTAGCAGAAATAATAATAGTAAGGCCTTGGCTACACTTACCCGCTAGTTCGGCGGCTGGCAATCGAACTTCTGGGTTCGACTTATCGCGTCTAGTCTGGACGCGATAAATCGAACCCGGAAGT